ATAACATACACCCTGATACCTGCTCTGACAAAAAGAGGAAGGACTAATATTCACTTGGGATTCTAGTGGGCAAACCTAAACTTTTTTACCTACAAGACTAGTTACTGACCACATGTTAGATTATTTCTGATGATCCCATTAAGACGATAGGCCTGCTGGAGCTTGGATCAGACAAGGTATGAAATAAGTAATACGTGTACAATGTACTTGTATTGTGAACTTGTGCTCAAAATTGAATAATACTCGGTTAAGTATGGGACATAAAATGACCACACAACTTGGACCAGAGTATGTACTGGAAATAATGATATTAAAACATACGTAATGTAGACTTAAATTTCATCTATATCAACATGTTATTTTAAATCTAAATCACAATTGTGATATTCAGTCAAGTATTCTTTTACAAGTAACGGACAATGAAAAATATGTTTTTCAGATCTATAACTTTCTGCATGATATGTGTTCTACAATAGGTTATTGGGGGTACCTACATTGTATATTAGCACACTTGCTCGTATGAAGTGTAGTAGGCCCGCATCTCTAGATATGCTTCTGTCAATATCTGTTCTTTGTTCCTCTCCTGGGTTTGTAATCAGCATGCCTTCATCATCCACTGTAGAGAAGCATCATCCTGCATAAGAGAAAACAATGTAGGTACTTCAATTAAAAGTGATAATAATAGATACATATCAACCATAATACATCCTATAAACAGACTTTCATTAATCTTATTTTGTGTTCTTCTTCATCTTCATTGCTCAAGAAGTGAAAGGACCACTTACAAACAAAAAGTAATGAGGGGTCCTGTGTATACCCTACATGTATGATCATTATTATTATTATGTAGTGCTTTGAATGTGCATTAGACATCGTTCTGTACACACAGGACCTCCTGTAAATAAGGAAAAATCCCTTTGTAAACAAAGAAAGGGAAGAACTAGAATAAAATATCCCTTCCACTATATACACTTGCAACATAAACTTAGTTCCATTTCCTTTTTAGTGAATTGATAGGTGGTCGTTTAATATTTGTGTGCTAAATATCCTGAAAATTTTACCTGCATGGGACTTTCAGCTTCATCTTGCAAATATAAGAAATGTTGTAATGTCTACTCATCAGTTAACTCCATCCAGCTCTTCATCAGTTTCAATCTGTTGAAACAAAAAGAAAACAAAATCAATATAGATCTAGCATAAAAGCTATTTTTCATGTCATGGTTGGCCTTAATTTTAATATGGTGTGAAAATCAACATTCCAATTTAATGGACCAAAGTACAAAGTAAAATTAAATGGAAGATTTAACTTGTGCCTCAAAAGTGCTTTATATGGCCTATAAATATAAAGTAGTCTTAAGTAGAATTGGTTTATTAAGACAAGAAGAAGTGGACTACATAAGTAAAAATAATTGTGGACTAGGGGTCTTCTCTTACACAAACAAATAGATTTATCAACATGAACTGCACGATTTGGAGAAGAAAGAAATCTCTAATATATTAAAAGTAATAATAATAGGGGTCAGGCACGTACGCAGGGGGGGGGGGGGGGTGTTAGACCTCCCCCTTGAGTTTTTTTTTTATGTAGACCTATATGTTTTTTCTGGAAACCCCCCCTTTTTTAGTGTTGATTTTAAAAAAATTAAAAAAAATCCTAATGGATGACCTAAAAAAGATCCCCCCCCCGCTTATTCAGCGGCTGGCTGAGTCGTTGCGAAGTTTTTGTGACCAATTTTTTTTTTTAAACGTCCTCTTCCCCCCCCCCCCCCCCCCCCCCCTCCCCTCCTAATCAGCAGCTGGCTGAGTCGTTGCGAAATTTTTGGCCCGATTTCAAAATGTTAAACCCCCCACCGCCCCCCCCCCCCCTTGATAGGGATCTAGATCTAGATCTAGTACTAGTACTAGTAGATCTACTAGACTCTAGGGACTAGGCTCTAGTAAAGTAGTAGTACTACTAGAGTAATGACAACTTGACAAGCACACTGAACCCACACAAAATCTAAATAAACAAATCCTAGTGTTGATGTTTTTTGAATATTTTATATTAATAAGTTCCAGGTTTACATCTAAATTAAATAGGATTTGGAGTTGTTTGATTATCAATGGTCACAGATAATTTTGGTATAGAAATAAAGTTGACACGCACCGCGTATGATGCAACTGAGCGAACGGATGGCACTGATATTTAGTAAAGCCATCCGAGTCCACATCTAACTAGGTCTAGACCCTATTACTAAAGATTTTAACAAGAATTAATCCACTTGGATTATCAAAAAAATCATGCTTCGTAGATTATTTTAAGGTGAAACGTTAAATCTAGATTTAAATTAAATCGATGATTGGTGAATTAGATTCATGATGACGATCAAATCTGAAATAAAACTTGATTAGAAAGTTTGATCTTGATGCAAAATGAGCACCGAAGTTCCCCGGGGTGGGCCTGCCGGAACGCCGGGGCCCTAACTGGAGTACTAGGGTGAAATAACGGCAAACCGCAGTCAAACTACTTCATGACGATGAAAATCAAAGTGCAATTTCAAGAGCAATATTTAACTAGTCTTTCCCCCCAAAATCTGTTGAGAACTGTCTCCAAATGTAACGAAATTACCGTACATCACGAAGACTATTGCAGCTTTTTCAAAATGATGACTAAACTCACTTAATCTACTCATATTTCAATCAATTACTCACCCATTCTCGATGAACTAACTCTTCTCAGTTTGTGCGAGTGTAGTAGCGTCGTGCATAAATCTGCATAATTAAAGTGACGCAATGAGGTCAAATATATTATCCGGTTTCTTAAACGATACTATCGATAAAATACATATTCATGAGGCTGTTATCCAATCAGAAAGCCGCCTCGGGTGCTTATTTTGTCTTCAAATGATCCAAAAGAGGCGGAGCCTAATCCCATTCGTCTGCATGGTTTCCGCGCGTGCTGCTTTCCGTCTAGTAATTATATTTAAACGTCTTTGCCCTAACAGGCCCCCCAAGCTCCGCCATTTTGTCCGGATCCATTAGAAGCCAAAATAAGCTACCTTGCATAATTCATGAGCCTTATGAATTATGCATTCTGTAGGATGCTCCCCACGAAAAGTGTACTGGAATGATGTTCACTACATGGTAAAAGACAATACGCGTATCAGCGTAATTAGAGAGGTCAAATAATCTACTGTACGGAATTATGGGTAATTTATTCATCACGCTGCGCGCTAGCAACGCAAAGTGATTCAGCGAATCAGCGTGGAATATTCTGATGCGATCACCGTTAGGTGAAATACGCGCTCGAACTTGTATTATCGATCACCAGTATAACAGCTGGTGTACCCAGGATGCATCGGGAAGTGGACCTTTAAGTTCCACTCGTTGTTGTGTTTTTTTTTTTTTAAGGTTTTAATGGCGTGTATAATTCATTTCTGAATATTTACGCCAACTAAGTAGCCTTTGAAAACATCATTACACCTCTACTTATTATTATTCCAGCATAAATTTTTCTGAAAATCTCTTTATTGTCCAAAAAATAATAATAACCATCCAGTTTCACAGATCTCAGGCTTGCTAAGCTCCACCCCTCATACCCAGGATGCATCGCGATATGGGGGAGTGGCCTTAACTTCATTGAATAAGAAATACTGATATTCTTAATGTCTCGATCTTATTCCCTTTTTAGTCTATCAATAACTGGGTCTGTTTTTGTTTTATTAAATAAAACATGCTATAAGCCATATAACAACACATTCTCTGGCTATGATTATACATTTTAAATATACTAATGTATAAAGTTTCCTTATTTTAGACAAACAAATTATGTGGCACAGTGGATGGTTTTTCTCCACCCACTCTCATCGTACCTTAAGGATTCCCTTTCTCTCTCTTTCTCTGGCTTTCGTAAATTATCTTCTGCAACTAACGGTTTGTTGTCTTGACTGCAGGCACGTAGCCAGACTTTGATGTTTGGGGGGGGGGGGGGGGGCACATACATGTAATCGATCGAGGTAAAAAAAAGGGGTCTAAAAAAGTTCAACCGATCGTGGAATTTTCTTCTTTTTTTGGCCCCCCCCCCCCCCCCCCCGTGGCTACGTGCCTGCTTGACTGAACAACCTGTTGCAGTTCCATTCTGTCTCATTTTCAGTCGTAGTTGTTATTACCACTCATTTACGTTTACTCGTTATCAACTACGATCAACCATTCCATATTCACTCCATTACTGTCCACATTTCACTTGGATTAACTTCACTTTTCCTTTTTGCAGCCTTTGCAGGAGCTTTGAACATGTTTAATGTAGAGACCAGAGAGATCGGAAAATATGTTAATCATTTTATTCAAATTTTCTAACTTGAAAACGGAAAGTGAAACATTGTTTTTCAACATCTTGACATAATTTTTGTTTAAAGACAATGGAATTTAACGCTGGAAATTTTGAATTGGGTTGCCCCCCTCCCCCCCCCCAAAAAAAAACAAAACAACAACAACAACAACAACAACAACCCAGAAGTGGTTTGTTAGTTAGGAGGCCCATGTCCTTTATAATTTTATTTTTAAGAATAGTTTTCTCTTTTTGTATTAATTTTACATTGGTATACCATTAATTTCACTGGGAAAACCACCCCATTCCCTTACACATCAATACTGCCATTACTTCTAGCAACAGTAATTCTATAATTCAAAACGTTTTCATTTTCTAAATCCTTCTAATATAAACATATAACAAATATAATATTGTTTACACTTTTTCAACCTGTTACATGGTCCATGTAGAAACAGCACCAGGAAGAGGATAACAAGACCCCCCCCCCCCCCCGTTTTCTTAAGCTAGGAAGTATCAAAACATGATTCTATTAAAATTAGCAGTTTGGATACAAAAGGCAATGATGATTAGCAGTTTCCATATTTAGTGCATTTAGAGGGTTGTCTTTCAAACCTTCTTACATACAATACTTGAAGCAGCAATGATGTAATAATCTACAAAACTTCAAATACAGAAGTCCATAGACTGAGGTAAATGAATTTCAACATGTATAATTATAATTAAAATATCATTGATCAATTCAATCTCTGATATAGACTGATAGATCTTTATCACTCAAATTTCAAGGAAATTTCTTTCTGCCCAGCCCTCAGTTTCATCATATAAGATGGTAGTTGACATTGTTAAAATGTTAATGTTTATTCATTGATGATTAGTTATCTTTAAATATTTGAAAGTTGACAAGATAATAAATTTATTAGCTTTTTCTAAATGTGGTATTCTACAAATATATAATACAAATAATAAATAAATAGTATGTAAATATTCAAGTTTAAACCCATCTCTAATGTCCTCTTTCATTATATGAGGGTTGCATCTTTAAGACGTAGTCCCATGAAGATGTCTTCTGCATTCATTGATGAAGTTGTAGGCTAGTTTTCAGAAGAAAGGGCTGTGATGATAACCCAAGTCTGTTGAATGGAAAAATGAAATAAGATACAGTGTATAAGAAAATAAACAACAACTAATAACATACACCCTGATACCTGCTCTGACAAAAAGAGGAAGGACTAATATTCACTTGGGATTCTAGTGGGCAAACCTAAACTTTTTTACCTACAAGACTAGTTACTGACCACATGTTAGATTATTTCTGATGATCCCATTAAGACGATAGGCCTGCTGGAGCTTGGATCAGACAAGGTATGAAATAAGTAATACGTGTACAATGTACTTGTATTGTGAACTTGTGCTCAAAATTGAATAATACTCGGTTAAGTATGAGACATAAAATGACCACACAACTTGGACCAGAGAATGTACTGGAAATAATGATATTAAAACATACGTAATGTAGACTTATATTTCATCGATATCAACATTTTATTTTAAATCTAAATCACAATTGTGATATTCAGTCAAGTATTCTTTTACAAGTAACGGACAATGAAAAATATGTTTTTCAGATCTATAACTTTCTGCATGATATGTGTTCTACAATAGGTTATTGGGGGTACCTACATTGTATATTAGCACACTTGCTCGTATGAAGTGTAGTAGGCCCGCATCTCTAGATATGCTTCTGTCAATATCTGTTCTTTGTTCCTCTCCTGGGTTTGTAATCAGCATGCCTTCATCATCCACTGTAGAGAAGCATCATCCTGCATAAGAGAAAACAATGTAGGTACTTCAATTAAAAGTGATAATAATAGATACATATCAACCATAATACATCCTATAAACAGACTTTCATTAATCTTATGTTGTGTTCTTCTTCATCTTCATTGCTCAAGAAGTGAAAGGACCACTTACAAAAAAAAGTAATGAGGGGTCCTGTGTATACCCTACATGTATGATCATTATTATTATTATGTAGTGCTTTGAATGTGCATTAGACATCGTTCTGTACACACAGGACCTCCTGTAAATAAGGACAAATCCCTTTGTAAACAAAGAAAGGGAAGAACTAGAATAAAATATCCCTTCCACTATATACACTTGCAACATAAACTTAGTTCCATTTCCTTTTTAGTGAATTGATAGGTGGTCGTTAATATTTGTGTACTAAATATCCTGAAAATTTTACCTGCAATGGGACTTTCAGCTTCATCTTGCAAATATAAGAAATGTTGTAATGTCTACTCATCAGTTAACTCCTTCCAGCTCTTCATTAGTTTCAATCTGTTGAAACAAAAAGAAAACAAAATCAATATAGATCTAGCATAAAAGCTATTTTTCATGTCATGGTTGGCCTTAATTTTAATATGGTGTGAAAATCAACATTCCAATTTAATGGACCAAAGTACAAAGTAAAATTAAATGGAAGATTTAACTTGTGCCTCAAAAGTGCTTTATATGGCCTATAAATATAAAGTAGTCTTAAGTAGAATTGGTTTATTAAGACAAGAAGAAGTGGACTACATAAGTAAACATAATTGTGGACTAGGGGTCTTCTCTTACACAAACAGATTTATCAACATGAACTGCACGATTTGGAGAAGAAAGAAATCTCTAATATATTAAAAGTAATAATAATAGGGGTCAGGCACTTACGCAGGGGGGGGGGGGGGGGTGTTAGACCTCCCCCTTGAGTTTTTTTTTTTAGGTAGACCTAGACCTCTATATGTTTTTCTGGAAACCCCCCCTTTTTTAGTGTTGATTTTAAAAAAATCAAAAAAAATCCTAATGGATGACCTCAAAAAAAATGTCCTCTTCCCCCCCCCCCTCCCCGCTTAATCAGCGGCTGGCTGAGTCGTTGCGAAATTTTTGGCCCGATTTCAAAATGTTAAACCCCCCCACCCCCCCCCCCCCCCCCCCTTGATAGGGATCTAGATCTAGATCTAGTACTAGTAGATCTACTAGACTCTAGGGACTAGGCTCTAGTAGTAACTGTTAGATGAGACGAGTAATGACAACTTGACAAGCACACTGAACCCACACAAAATCTAAATAAATCCTAGTGTTGATGTTTTTTGAATATTTTTTATTAATAAGTTCCAGGTTTACATCTAAATTAAATAGGATTTGGAGTTGTTTGATTATCAATGGTCACAGATAATTTTGGTATAGAAATAAAGTTGACACGCACCGCGTATGAACTATGATGCAACTGAGCGAACGGATGGCACTGATATTTAGTAAAGCCATCCGAGTCCACATCTAAGTTAGTGTCTAGGGGTGGTATTCTGAACATTGTTGTAAGTTTTGTGTTATCTTTTGTTGTATCTTCCAGAGATAACACAGCGCTAATATTGTTGTAAGTTGGTATTCTGAACATTGTTTTATCCCTGTGTTATCTCTTGAAGGACCGCCTCTATCTTATCTTTGACCATTGATGACACGCCCATTTTTATGGACCCTACCAATCAAAATCTATTTTATTTAAGCATGATAAGTAGATCAACCAATAGGAATACTTTATGCCATATCTGAAGATGCGCCTAGCGCATACTAATCTTGGGCGTAATTAGTTATTTGAGCACTTATTACGCGCGTCATCATTATGCGCTGTTGAATGTGGATCATGAAGACAAATCACGCTTTCACTATATTGGTTAAGATGAGAGCATTAAAATAGTCCTATCCTAGCATTTAATTTCTTAGAAAGTTCTCATCTTTGATGTTTCCGGTCAACACATTATCTTCTTCTAACTCGTCTATTGGCACAAAGTTGGTTCTGGGCAAGAAATATTGCCGCCATTATCACCACGAAAGATACAACAACCCCCTACCTGTTGTAAATATTGTTGTAAATACCATGCAAGATAAGATAAGATAAAAGATACAACAACTTTCAGAATACCAATTATCTCGACATATTATCTCCCGTGCGCATATGCAAATGAGGATTAAGCGCCATGTTATTACTAATAAGCACAATTACAAGCGCACCAAGCTATGAGCGCAGGCGCGGCCAATGAGATGAGAGAAAAGATACAGCAAAAGATAACACAAAAGTTACAACAGTGTTCAGAATACCAACTTTATCTTATCTCCAAAGATACAACAATATTAGAGATAACACAGGGTTCAGAATACCGCCCTAGGTCTAGATCTACTAAAGATTTTAACAAGAATTAGACCTAATCCACTTGGATTATCAAAAAAATCATGCTTCGTAGATTATTTTAAGGTGAAACGTTAAATCTAGATTTAAATTAAATCGATGATTGGTGAATTAGATTCATGATGACGATCAAATCTGAAATAAAACTTGATTAGAAAGTTTGATCTTGATGCAAAATGAGCACCGAAATTCCCCGGGTGGGCCTGCCGGAACGCCGGGGCCCTAACTGGAGTACTAGGGTGAAATGACGGCAAACCGCAGTCAAACTACTTCATGACGATGAAAATCAAAGTGCAATTTCAAGAGCAATATTTAACTAGTCTTTTCCCCAAAAATCTGTTGAGAACTGTCTCCAAATGTAACGAAATTACCGTACATCACGAAGACTATTGCAGCTTTTTCAAAATGATGACTAAACTCACTTAATCTACTCATATTTCAATCAATTACTCACCCATTCTCAATGAACTAACTCTTCTCAGTTTGTGCGGGTAGCCTCTAATCGGGCACATCTACAAGGAGGCAATGAATATGCATATCAGTGACGTCTTGTCAAGTCATGAATATTGATGTTCTTGACTGCGCGCGTACGATCGTACGTACGTACGTGCAGAATTGGGGTCATGACTGTTCAATGAAGGTAATACGTGCAACACAAATCAGGGCAAAATCTTACCATTATACATTTGTATTGTCCGTGATTATGAGGTAGAAGTGTTTGAGTGTTAAGTAAATTTATTTAGTGTGGATTTTGATACATTTTTGATACAGTTTATACAAAATTGGCGATTCTTTTGGTCGTTTTTTAACTCCAAAAAACAAGTGACCAACTCGGTCGTCGGCTAAACCACCTAGCCCTGCCTGTAGATGTGCCCGCCTATCTCTACGTCGACTGTGCCCGATCGAGATAGGAATCGAGTTAGTGTAATAAAATAGTATTCTATATTCAATATCCGAGAGTTCACGGATGTAACATTAAATCTCCCTTATAAATGAGTTTCACAAATATCAATTTATCTTCTTTTCATGGATTTTCTTTGGATTCTACGTTTTACGTTGTCAAACAACCACCTCCCTGTAGATGTGCCCGCCTCCCGCTACATGTGCCCGAGATAGGGGATAATGTATAGTAAGGCATACAACTTAGTGCTGTATATTGAATTTCCGACATGTCATGAATATAATAAAGCTTCCTAAGATACAAATGAGTTTCATAAATATCAATTTATCTTCTTTTCATTGATTTTCTTTGGATTTTACGTGTTTTAAGTTATCAAAACATGCACCTCCCTGTAGATGTGCCCGCCTCCCGCTACATGTGCCCGAGATAGGGGAAATGTAGTGAGGCATACAACTAGTGTTGTATATTAAATTTCCGTCATGTCATGGATATAATAAAGCTTCCTAAGATACAATTGAGTTTCACAAATATCAATTTATCTTCTTTTCATGGATTTTCTTTGGATTCTACGTGTTTTACGTTGTCAAACAACCACCTCCCTGTAGATGTGCCCGCCTCCCGCTATGTGCCCGAGATAGGGGAAATGTATTGAGGCATACAACCCGAATTTCCGACATGTCATGAATATAATAAAGCTCCTAAGATACAAATGAGTTTCACAAATATCAATTTATCTTCTTTTCATGGATTTTTTTTTTGATTCTACGTGTTTTAAGTTATCAAAACATGCACCTCCCTGTAGATGTGCCCGCCTCCCGCTACATGTGCCCGAGATAGGGGAAATGTAGTGCATACAACTAGTGTTGTATATTGAATTTCCGTCATGTCATGGATATAATAAAGCTTCCTAAGATACAATTGAGTTTCACAAATATCAATTTATCTTCTTTTCATGGATTTTCTTTGGATTCTACGTGTTTTACGTTGTCAAACAACCACCTCCCTGTAGATGTGCCCGCCTCCCGCTACATGTGCCCGAGATAGGGGAAATGTATTGAGGCATACAACTAGTGTTGTATACTGAATTTCCGACATGTCATGAATATAATAAAGCTCCTAAGATACAAATGAGTTTCATAAATATCAATTTATCTTCTTTTCATGGATTTTCTTTGGATTCTACGTGTTTCACGTTGTCTAACAATCACCTCCCTGTAGATGTGCCCGCCTCCCGCTACATGTGCCCGAGATAATGGTGTATAGCCAGACATTATAATATAATTATATTATATCTATGCGTATTTTTCTTGCTCCCTCGACGTGGCGACTCCACCAAACATACCCCCTCTTATACTCACCCCCTTTCTCTCAGGCTCTTACCCCCCCCTCTCTCTCTCTCTCTCTCTCTCTCTCTTTCATCCCCTGTTTCTTTTGTTTTCTTTTTCTCTTTTTTCTTCTTCTTTTGCTCCTTTTCTTCCTTTTCTTTCTTTTCCTTTCTTTCCTATCCTTCCTCTTTTTCTCTTCTTCTTTTTCTTTCTTTTCCTTTCTTTCCTATCCTTCCTCTTTTTCTCTTTCTTCCTCCTTTTCCGCACAATATCCTGACAGGCGGGGGTCGCACCCCCACACCCCATTTGGGGACGCCCCTGGTTGTAGGGAGTTAGATTATATACAATATTCAAACTTTTCGTAAATATACAATTAATATTGCACGATTTTTTTTCTTCCTCATAATAATGTAAGGAAGTAATATTTTCAAGATTTTAAGTCAAATAAGATACGATTTTGCGATCGTAAGGCATTAAGCAAACGGTAGTGTCCCCTATATTGTGTCTTTTTAAAAGTAGGCCTTTATTTTCTTTTAGCTTTGATAATTATATAAAAACATCCCCATAATCTAGCTAATATATTTCCCCCGCTCCAGTGGTGACAAAAAAGGGAAACATATACACACACGTAATCCTATCGTAATTTGTCCCCCTTGTGTGAAATATCCCCCCCCCCTTAACTGATTGGCTAATCTTTGGTGACAAGACGATATATTTTACAAGGAAACCATCTCGACCGAAAAAAAAAGACAGATTTAGAACGTGACAGTAAGACAATGCATATATGCTTTATGATTACCAACCTCTCCTACGAGATGACCCCGACAATAAGACACTATTTCAAACTCGTGGGAGACAGTGAGCATATAGGATGACAATATATAATGCTTTTTCACAAAAACAAAACAAAAAACACAACAATATACTCCTGTTCTCAATGTGTATGATGAATTGACAGGTGATATGTATATTATGATGTGTTTGTTCTATTATTATCTATCTTGTTTCATGACAACTTACATCAGCCTTAATTTTCGTTCTATGTGTTCCCTTTGTTGTATTTTCTTTCTTTTTATTATGGTTTGGTTATTGAAATTAATTGATTATCTATATTTCGTGTGTGAACCTTTAAGCATGTATATATCGACTCGAATAACTATTACATTTATTTTCTGTGTTTGCTTTGAATTTACCATGTCTCGAATGAATTAATCAATGATTATTTTTTATTGAACCTGCATTCAAATTTATGTACATTCCGTATTTTTCATGTGTTTGTTCTGTGTTTATCATTATATCAAACCCCCTTGTTGCTACGAGGGCTAGATATCCCACCCCAAAATAAAAACGAAGACAAATTTCTCACGGCATTTTTTACTTTAATTGTGTTGCACTATATAGACCTTATCAGACCTCCTTACCAATCACCATCACCCTCACCCCAACAAAAAAGACAATAAATGTTTGATTCATATTTGGATTGCATTATCTCTTTGTACGATACATGACGCGAAAACCGTCAAGGTCCGAAAGTGTTCAAGCCCCCTATCCCCCAAAGTCTCAAACAAATCACAATTCCGAAGTGCCCCCCCCCCCCCACCTCTCACCCCTCTCCGGACAGTAAGTAGGCTCGTGTTCCGGCCCAACCCCGCGTGTCTTTCTTGCTCCCTCGACGAGACAACTCCACCCAACAACCCCCTCTCTCGTTTACTCCCACCCCTCCTCTATCAGGCTCTTACCTCCACTTGTTTCCTTTTTCTCTTTTTGTTTTCTTCTTCCTTTTTCCTTTTTTTTTCTTTTCTTTCTTTTCCTTTCTTTCCTCTCCTCCCTCTTTTTCTCTCTCCTTTCTTTTCCCTTTTTTTCCTTTCTTTTCCTTTCTTTCCTTTCTTTTCCTTTCTTTCCTTTCTTTTCCTTTTCCTATTTTCTTTTCTTTTCTTTCCCTCTCTTTCTTCCCCTCCCCCTTATCTCTTTTTTCCCGACGGCAGCGCAATTTTACCGACAATATCCTGACAGGTGGGGGGGGGGGGGGGGGTTTGTCGCACCCCCACACTCCCCTCTTTGGAGACGCCCCTGCTCGTATGCACTGTTTCGTTCTTGAAACACTGTTATATTATATTTACACAAACAAATTACCTTACAGAAAACATTAACATACCCAAAGAAAGTAGTCCGTCAAATGAATCATTATCAAACAAATAAATTACTCAAAAGTATACTGAGTAATAATCAACAATCATATTAAAGGATACTGATTTTAAATACAGGCCTCTACACTGTTAAACAAAGTTAAAAGGTAGGTGTTACCAAACGCGGATCAAGGGAGGGCCGAGCCCCCCAGCCCCCCCCCCCCCCCCCAAAAAAAAAGGAGAGAGCGAGAAGGAAAAGAAGGGAAAGGGAAAGAGAGAAAGGGAAAAAAGAAGAGGAAGAAGAAAAGAAAAGAGGGAAGAAGGAGATCGGGGGGGGGGAACTTGCCTTCCAGGCTGTTGCCCCCCCCCCCAATCAAAAAATAAAAGAGAAGGAAGGAAAGGGTAAGAAAAAAGGAAAAGAGGAGATAAATGGAAGGAAAAAGAGGAAGAAGAAAAGAAAAGAAGGGGGATATCAGTTGCAATTTTCCCGCCAACAAGTTGTGGATAGGGGGGAAGGCCCTTTCCCCCCCCCCACCCCCCCGTCCCTGCTAAAAAAAGAGAAAAGGAATGAAAAGGAAAAGAGGAGAGCTAAAAGGGAACACAAAAGGAGAAGAAGAAAGGGAGAAAAGAAGGGGAGATCAGTTGCGGTTAATCCCGCCAACAATGTGTGGAGCGGGTGGGGGTCAAAATGACCTTGCCCCCACCCCCAGCAAATCTAAAAGTGAGAGAGGGAAGGAAGGGAAGGGAAAGGGAAAGGGAAAGAGGAGAGAAAGAAAAAGAAAAAAAAAGAGAATGAAGAAAGGTAAGGAATATCAGTTGCAATTCCAACAAAGTGTATATAGATCGGGGGGGGGGGGCTTTGGGGAAATAAAATTCAAACGTGGTTTATTTCTAATTCCATAACGGTTGTTTACAAATAATGGTGAAATGACATCCTTTACATTCATGTCGGAAATTCAATTTACAACAGTAGTTGTATGCCTATTTTCTACACTCCCCCTATATCGGGCACATGTAGCGGGAGGCGGGCACATCTACAGGGAGGTGGTTATTTGACAACGTAAAAAACGTAGAATCCAAAGAAAATCCATGAAAAGAAGATAAATTGATATTTGTGAAACTCAATTGTATCTTAGGAAGCTTTATTATATCCATGACATGACGGAAATTCAATATACAACACTAGTTGTATGCCTCACTACATTTCCCCTATCTCGGGCACATGTAGCGGGAGGCGGGCACATCTACAGGGAGGTGCATGTTTTGATAACTTAAAACACGTAAAATCCAACGAAAATCAATGAAAAGAAGATAAATTGATATTTATGAAACTCATTTGTATCTTAGGAAGCTTTATTATATTCATGACATGTCAGAAATTCAATATAGGCTACAACACTAAGTTGTATGCCTTACTACATATCCCCTATCTCGGGCACATGTAGCGGGAGGCGGGCACATCTACAGGGAGGTGGTTGTTTGACAACGTAAAACACGTAGAATCCAAAGAAAATCCATGAAAAGAAGATAAATTGATATTTGTGACA